TATGGGTATATAAAACCCACGCCCTATAATCCGGTGAGACTGCGCCTTTTGGTTGTGAAAATACGGCACTTGTTGGTTTCCTCCCCACCAGCACGTGTTCAGACAAACTCATATTTGTAAGGCAGAATAGTGTCCTTGTCAGCAGCTCTGATCAAATATGATGCAGCATTGTTTTTCCCAACAATGCCATCCAAACCTTGTACAGCACACATGCTTCATGATCAGACAGTTTGCTCCAGAAACTTTTTTACCCTTAAAGCATTCCCATCCTCTGCAGTACATGACCGACTTTATAATGTTTATGTGCAAATTTAAAGACAATATGTTTGCTTGGGAATGTGGGGGTTGAAATTATAGCTCCAGCAATTAATCACATTTTTAATTGTTTAAAGCATGTTATTATGTACTGTATAAGCAATGGATTAGCAATACATAACATTTGTTCAAGAAAAAAATTGACATCTCCAGTATCTCATGTGTTTTCCTCCTTCAATGTGCACAATAACTAACTCTTTTCTATGTAGATCTTTTTGCAAATTGCACCAGGCTGTGCTAAACCTATAGCAGATCATGGAGGAAATGAATCAAAGGATTGACACAGTGCAGAAAGGCCCATCACTTCCACAAGAGGCTCAAGATTTTCACCTAAGAGGGAAAATTCTAACAGCATAATCAGTAAGTCTGCTCTGTGTGCCAATTACTGGCACAATCATTCAGATGCATTATCAGTGGTATTTCACACCATTACTATAGTGCACATAGCACTGTAATTGTTTATTTTTAAAGAAAATTTTACAAATAAAAGTTTATGCTTTAGAATGCAGGAACATTTCATTTAGTAACGATGTCCTCTTGGTGGTCTTTGGAAAGCCAAATGTTTTATTATCTGCTTTAATAAATCTAAATTCCATCATTTAATGGAACCATAGTATAGGAATCGACCATTCCTATACTATGTGCTTTTTTCTGCCAGAGATTCAAATATTCAATTCTGCTATTGGGGAGGACATGCAGTATGAAAGACATGAACAGTGAGAAAGTGTATGTATCTCTTGTTAAATTAATATAGCTTAAAATAACCAGGGAAACTTTAGAAAGCCTCTCTGTTTTTCTGGCACTTTCCCAAGATGTTGAGATTTGCCTGGGCTTAATTTTTTACTAATTTATTACCTGCACTTAATTTCAGAAAAGTGGGATAACTGATTCAGGCTTGAATTAATGCATACCAAGGACTTAGCTTTAGGAAAGCAGAAAAGATAATGGCATTTACAGATTACATTTTCTATCTAATTTATCTCTATCTTTCATGGCAAGTTCAGCATTTGATCGTCTGCAGGAGATTCCATTTGTGTGATTTATATATTATTTCTCTCACTGTGTTGTCATTAGGTATAGTTATGATTAGATTAGCTTAGCTTTGTATTAGGGCTACTGTACATCATTGCACAACAATGAGCCTCCTCAGTAACAGGCTAAATGTATGCACTAAAATGTATATCTTTCCAACACTAGGTTGGGAGGTGCGCTGTCTATAATCTTTCTTGTCCAGCTCTGCTCTTGCAGTTTCAATAAATCTCTTTCTCAGCAGCCCCTCCCCAACCAGTGTTTTTGCCACCCTAAGCAGGGATTAATTGTCTTTGTTCTCCAGGCTTTAGTTTGAATAAAGCAGGGAAAAAGCAAATTGTGCAATGGAACTGTTTTAATGCAAACATGTGCGGTGAAGTGAAAAGTTCTGAAGACAAAAAATTATAAAGATTTGTCATTAAATTGGACTTTCTCTTTTTATTTTGTTTTCCATATCTAGATTAAAACCAACCCCATTTTGGGAAATTCTTGCCCATTTTGCATACCCATATGGAAAAGCAAATAACTTAGGAGCTGTAAGATTGGGTGAGTAGAACCCAGACCAAGCGATATCAGCTTTGAACTTTTGGTATCCGCTTGGAGCGGAGCGCAATGGCTCCACCCGCAGGTATCTGTGTGTCTCGCTAACACAAGCCTGCGATGCGGCAAGGGTGGTCCTGTGGAGCATCCAGCTACAGCGAGGCAAGAGCAGTTCTCAGAGTGCCCACTATCAAACCATTCTCCTCCGACTGAGAGAAAAAAGAGATGCACGAGCTGGCTTCTGACAGGTCTGACCCAGAGTCAAAATGATCCCGAAAATCAGTGCCAGATGCTGCCAGAATTACTGCATTGTCATCCAAAGCAGAGAGTCCCCAACAAATGCTCTGCCCTTGGTCAGGGTCTCCAGTCAGGCTCGTACCACACTTGCCCCTAAGGGACTTTCATCCCCTCCAGCTCAGAAGCAAGATGGGCCACTTGCCTAGATATGCCCTCTGAAACTGTGGAGCTCCTCTTGGTCCTCTTCCGTGGAGGCCCCATAGCCGCTTTGAAGGCCAGCCAAACGAGCATTGCGAAGGGACAGAACAATTAGGGTAGGCAGCATCAGTCTAGGCCTCTTTCAGGCGATCTGGTCCTAAACAAGGATACAAATCATGTCCGTCCTCTAACTGGAGAGGGGCCAAACAAGCTCTGCCGCATGGTGCGTCTAACATCTCATGCTCACGGGGCTAGGTCAGGTCAAGCTGAAATAGCCACTCTTGAAACTTAAGCCAAAGGTCAGAAAATGCCATCTGGGATTCCCAAGCAGCAAAGTTGCAAGGAGAACTATCAAAGCACGGCGATGAAAGTAAAACGCAAGCCCAAAAACGGCTGCTACGTAACAAAATACCGGCAAGCCGAACACAGCTGCACAGTAAACGAAAAGGCAAACTCAAAAAACGGCTGCACTATAAACAAAAAAGCAAACTTGAAAACGGCTGCCTATCAGTAATATAGGAAAGCTCGAAAACGGCTGCCCAATAACTAAAAAAGCAAGCCCGAAAAACTGCTTTTTTAACTAGTTAAGAAGAATAAACTATGTTTTCTTAAAGGAATAGTACACCCAAAACATGATTAGCCTTCATTTTCTACTCACCCCCATGCTGAACAAAACTCTGGAGTACTTTTTTGATATCTCAAATGCATCTGGAGATCTGGGAGGCTTCTTGCTGTCTGCTGACATTCAAATAATGGAGGTCTATGGCGCCCGAGACAGAAAGGTCCAAAAAAGTCCACAAAAACGTGTCAATATTCCTCCATACTGCTCGTCCAATGTAATCCAAGTGTCCTGAGTGGGTAGCATCCATAATTTACTCGAAACGAAGTCATTTAGAACGTTTTAGAGCCTAAACAGTAGTGTATAGGATTTGCTAATAGCGCCCCCATGCGCGCTCACGATTCTACGGAAACCGCGGCAGACCAAACCGGAAGAAAGTGCGCATTCAGCGTCTGCTCTGCCGATAATGCAAGCGTAGAAGAAGAAATGTGCTGTTTACCTGTGCAAAGAAAGAAACAACGAAAGAAAAATGTCTGAGGACTTCAGTGTTGAGGAAGAGCATGAGTTCTTTGCCGAGCCTTTTCTCTATGAACCAGAATACACAGATGACGAACTTAGATACATGGATGAGGCAGCCGCAGCTCAAGCTGAGCCGCAAACACCGTTGTGCTACAGACGTAGAGCGTCAGAAACATGGTGGTGTAAATGTGGAAATTGTCAAGCAATGCCAACAGAAGAGGAGAGCATTTGCTGTGTGGACTGGGACTTGTTGATGCCACCACTGGAGGATCTAAATATCTCCACTGATGAGACCGAGAGCACTAGCCAAAGACTTTGTGTCACCCAAAACACGGATTATCCACCATTACTGACCCGTGGCGTTCTGGAGATGTTTTTCCATGTGCCCAAAATCAATTGGAAAAAGAGGCCAAGACCCGCAGGACCAAACAACACGCTCTCTGCAGAGTAAGTTTTGTGCAACAGGCCTATGCCTTGCTAATAATGTTATTATATATATCATATATATCATATATATCATATATATATATATATATATATGATATATATGATATATATATATATCATATATATCATATATATGATATATATATATATATATATATATATATATATATATATATATATATATATATATATATATATATATATATATATATATATATATATATATGATATATATATGATATATATGATATATATATATATATATCATATATATATATCATATATATATATCATATATATATATATAATATATATATCATATATATATATATTATATATATCATATATATATATATTATATATATCATATATATATATATGATATATATATATATGATATATATATATATATATCATATATATATGTTATATATATATATATGATATATATACATAATGTTAATGGTACTCACTGTGCAGTTTTTTGTATGTGATGCTAGTACTAAAGTCTGTTTACTCAGCATCTTACCCAGGTTGTGTGCTGGATGAGATACTGCTTTCTTTTTCACTTGTATTGCTAAAATAATGGCTCCATTCCCCCCCCCCCCACCCCCCCCCCCCCCCCCCCCCCAGGTCAGTACAGGTTGGTGGCCTACCGTGTGGTACTCGAGTGGATTCTGAAAGGCGAGAGACTTGGCAAGGACAGCAGAAGAGTTTTACCTGCCTGTATTGTTACAAGCATCCGTTCCAGCTACCCTTCACCAGATGGAGTGTATACTGGTTTCAAGGAGGCAGAGGCAGCTTTTGAACAGTTGTAAAGACTATAAACAAATCCTAAGAGACTCTTCCATATTAATTTGTACTACTTCATTGTATTTCATATTTTTTCCCAAATCACAAACCTATACTGCCTCATTATAGATATCATTTCAGAATTTATGTAGCCGATAACTGTAACCTTTCCTGTACTATTGTGTTGTTTTGGAAATAAACAAAATGACTTTGGATGGTAAGAAAAATGTAACTCTGTTCCTTTGATTAAATATTTATTCTAGACCTAAGTGTGAAATGCAGACAAGCCAACCACAAACACATGCCATTTTATTTCAAAATGTCATGTTATAACTATATTAAGTAAAACCCTTATCAGACTCTGTATCCCAGAATTTTGAAAAAAAAAGAAGGTTAAAATTACATGCCACCAGCTAGACTTTTTATTTGCATAATTACAAATATAAAAAGGCAAGAGTAAAAATACTGCACCACTCAGACTAACTGCTGTATCGGGAAGTATGTTTTTGTATGGCTTCCTCTTTGGCAGGCTTTGGTTTCTGAGCAATGTTTTCTGGTATGGGAGGGATAGAAACATATGACTGGTGGTCTTTGATCTTGATGTTGGGGTCCAGGCGTCTCCGCACAACTTGCACCACCAGATTTTGCCGGAATGTTTGTGTTGTTGGAACATAGATCTTTTTGGCGACCCATTCTTTTGTTTGTTTTGGGTAAACCACATTGAACCGTGCTTGTCCTAAAAAACAAAGAAGAAAATGTAAGACAGAGGAAACATTAATGAAATAACATAGCTATTATAAAGCTTTCAAAAAGTTTCGGTTTTAGGTTTCAAAAAAGGAACCAGGAAATTGTATCCAAAAAATTAGAAATCTGGTACTTGTAATTTTGTGGTGGTGAGAATTAGGACCATAAAGTATCATATTTGTTATGCAGATCTTAGTGCAGCAGCTCACTAAACAGGTGCGGTTCCCATTGAAGGTTAAATGTAATGTTTGCTGTTTTTTCAATACAGCTCATTTTGAGGACATAAATGAGTATATGACACTGAGCAAAGCGCACAAGGTTAGGTTTTTTTGTTTTGAATATACTTTCTTGTTACCTGTGTTGGTGTAGGCCTGTTCACGCTGAACATTTTCATTGTGGTCCATAACGGCAAGCTGGGTGCGAGCTTTCATTGTTGAGTAGTGGAAGTGCAGTCTCTTCTCTGTGTATTTCAGCATAGATGCATGGAATACTTCAAGCTTCCCTGAGAAAACATAATAATGACAAGTTCACTAAATATTAAAAATTTTGAATTTCTCATTATTATTGTGCTTTCCTCGTTATATTTACCAGTATGTTTGAAAAGGGCCATTTGCCTAAGGTCTTTCATGAGTCCTTTGTCCAGGGCAATAGCTGTCAGGGCTTTGAAAGCGTAAGAGTCTCTCCTTAACCACCTCTTTCGCCTCTGTTCCTCTGACGTAAGGTCAGCATGCACACATTTAATCTCCTGTCCATCTTCCTCCCAGCGGTGCACACCACAGATGTGATGAAGTAGTGCTTTCCACTTCCTTATCAAATCCTGAGGATATTAGAAAATTACAATTCAGTATCAAAGAGAGTAAAAGGATTGTGTCAAAGACTATCAGTTATTATTATCATAACTTTATGTTGCCTAAATGTGATGAATGTGATGTTACTCACATCAGGGTCACCTCCACAAGTGGAACAGGCGTACCACAAGTGATTGCAGATGGATTTTATCCATGGTTGCAGGTCTCGGTTGTCCTTTTTGTTGGATGCTGACAGCAATTTTTTCATTAGCCCTACCAAAAGCAGAACAATCGTCAATGAGTCTCAAGCAAGCATAAAATATGGCAACTGGAGTAAACGTGTGAGTAGAAGATGTTTTGTCTCTCATCCAAGAAACTTATTCCTTTATAAAATAGTCTGGTTGGGGAGTACAAGAAATGTATCCACCAGGTGTATGGTGGCAACGTCACTGAGGTGGCACTAAACGTTAGACAGGACATGTTGTTCATACAGGTGGATCAAAGATTTTGGGAAGGATCAAGGGAACCAGGTGTTAGAGACAATATTGCTTTGTTGTTTTGAAAAATAGAAAGGAGTGTGAGCTTTTTAAAACATTTAATTTACCTTCTGGGATAAATAAAGTATTTTTCATTTAATTTAATTTTAACGACAGTGGGGAGCTCAGGGCTCAGAGAGTGTAGGTGATTGGAGATGTACAGTCCCAACAGACTGCACTTCTGCACATGGGTGACGTCAACATAGTCTTGGTGGGTATGAAGTACAAGGTGGGAGCAGGTAATAGAGGAGTGTGGGATCACAATGGGGCTGTGTATAACCTAGGCAGGTGCCAGCGCTTTGGCAAGGGAGGGGTAAATTATGTAAAAGTTTATGTGGCTGTACAAGGGCTATCCAAAGTATATTGTAAAAACATTTTCCTCATTATAGTAATTCCTTTACCATTGTACATTTACAAATTACAATTTGTCAGCTTACCCTTGACAACATGCCAGATGTCAAACTCATGGTGGATTTCCGGATACTCTTCGCGCATAATTTTTCGTATGGATGGTGATCGGTCAGTGGTTACCACCTCCACTTCAAGACCTTGCTCAAGGAGATAATCAAGTCCTCTCCTGAACCCCACTGGCTCCATGGCAGCAGAGCTGGATGCCTCTGTCACCTGTACCACAAAACAAAAAATTAATGTTTAAAATCAGTTTCATACATCTTTGATGGGACAGTGCTTGTCATAATCCGATAGCAACATTGATTTTGTAATATGTTCCACATATTAGACATACATTTATTTACTTCTTTAATTTCATTCCGCACATGATGAAAATGAGAAACATTACCCCAAAAAAAAGGAAGAAAAACAATATAATAAATGCACCAAAATTGATAATAAATACAATAGATAATAATAATATAAAAAAAAAGATACAATAAAAAAAGAAAACTGAAAATAGATAAATATAGAAATTTAAAAAATAATGTAGGCTACATTTATCAAATTGAAGAACGAAAACAAGTGGGATTAAGTACAAAACCAAATTCAATCCCACCCTTTAAAAAAAAAACATATACATAGATCACAGTCTTCCGCTTCACAATTATTATTTGCCAATTAGAATGACCAAAATCCAAATAAAACTACAAAATATATGCATATGTATCTTTGTGCAGTCAATTTGTAAACACACAATTGACAATTGTTCTCATATTATGTTGTAATATGAAATATGAAATAATAATTTCCCTTACCTGCACTAACTGAAAAAGGATTATTTCCTTTGTTGTGTCCTCCATGAAGCTGTAGGTGTTGTATTTTGCGGAGAAGCCTGGGCTGTAAAGACAAAAAGATAAATAGGCTATCAAATCCAATATTACATCAATTACTCTAACGATAACTTCAGATAATCAAGAGTTAAATATTTGTCATTCATTATAAATAATATACTAACCTGTCTGATCGGCCATCTCCAGATACATGCACTCCCTTTTTCAGAGTATACTGTTTATGCAGTAGCTGTTCCATGATGGCCTTGTGCTGCTCGTTGTACACCATGTCGATGACTGGGATTAGATATGAAGACTGTATTTTGTAATATGTTGTATTGTTGGGAATTTGGAGATTCAGCAGTCCAGCCCAATCAGCAATTGTTGTGTACGTGGCACCAGTGAAGAGAGTTGACGCTGCTACAAGTAGATTATTCTCTGGCATCCCTCTAACATCTGGACAGGAACTCCACTCATCACTATGTTGATTCAGACACTCCCACAATATTTTGATACAGCTCCCAGATATCTGAACATTTTTTTGAATGATTTCTGTTCCACACTGATGGCAAGTCTTGAAAAGCTGAAACAATTTTGACTCGTCAACCAGCCATTTCCTCTCATCCCAGGTTCTCAAGTCTTCAGTTTCTTCTGAGGTTGGAGTTGAAGTTGATGTTGAGCTTGGAAGAGCAAAACTGGTGTCTTTTGGGTCTAGAGGAACACCAATTGAGGTCATGCTGACATCCAAACCTTCCTCCAAACGTTCCTCTGCCATCTGAGCTTGCATATCCTAAAATCAACAAAATAACCATTAGACTTGTTGAGAAGTTATATTTACTTGCTTTAAGCCACACATAAGCCGAAACTGTAACTACTAGATTTGCCATAGCAGCCAGTGGGTGAGTACTTACAGTTTGAGATAACCTTGTGGGGGGGAAGGCACGATAACTGCCAGATGTGGATGGACATGTGCGTTCTTTGGTTGTTTCAGGGCTTGTTAGGACCAGCTGCAGTCTTGCATGAGAGTGCTCAGGTCGATCACCAGGTTGTTTTGGTTTAACTGGAGTGAAGTGTGGCACATCATCAAAAGAAGTCTCAATGTTGGCTGTCTCAGTCACTGCAGCAGCAGGATGTTGTGAAATGCCCTAGAAACAAACACTATTATTAATAATAAAAAATAATCATGCTATGATTTCATATGAGCAAATAAAAGTTGCAGCATCTAAGAAAGACTATGTGGCAATGAATGTCATTCATTTCACTTTTTTATTTATTTATTTATGTATTTTAAATCATGGATCACATTAGTATTTCCCTGGGTGCTAAAAGTTTAGTTATTATCATCCAGATTTTTATTTTTTATTAACTCCTAAACACTAACAACTTGCAGGCCATCAATGATCACATTGATTGATCACAAAATTAATATAATGTCACACTGAGCTGTGGAGCGGGTGTTTGTCAATAGGTGGGTTGTACATACATACAGTGTAAAAAAAATCCGTCTGATAACAAAGCAACTAAAATAACATGACTTGTAAAAAATTCCATGATTGTCCAAATTTATGTGGAAGTTAACATTTTTACTCAAGTAATATTAGCGTGTTTTAACATTTTAACGTTTTTAAAAAAAGTACCGGTAAAAATACAGATCATATACAAACGTGTAAGTTACATAAATGGTTTATAAAGTACATACCTCTGTCCTTAGTTGTGACACCATCGGCACAGCTGTACTCTTTAATAAAGCTCTTCCTTTACAGGTTCGGAAATCATCCGCTGAAAAGTGTTCACTACAGACACGGAGAGAATCCACGTTAGCTGTCCTTAGATCTTTTCGTAGAGCTATTAGCCACAGGTTTAGCCTTTCAGGGTCCCGAAGAGGTAATTTGTGGAAAGTTACGGAATGGGTTATTCCACACTGCCGCTTCATCTGATTGAAGCATCCAGGATAGGAACACACTCGAACCATCTTCTTAATTTCACGACTAAAATCACTAATCAACAACTTTTTCAAACTCTGAGAGAGACTGACCTCGTGCTCACCTGGCTCAGGGCAGAAAATAAACAGGTGAAAAGCGGAACTTCTTCTTCTACGCTTGCATTATCGGCAGAGCAGACGCTGAATGCGCACTTTCTTCCGGTTTGGTCTGCCGCGGTTTCCGTAGAATCGTGAGCGCGCATGGGGGCGCTATTAGCAAATCCTATACACTACTGTTTAGGCTCTAAAACGTTCTAAATGACTTCGTTTCGAGTAAATTCTGGACGCTACCCACTCAGGACACTTGGAATACATTGGACGAGCAGTATGGAGGAATATTGACACGTTTCTTGTGGACTTTTATGGACCTTTCTGCCTCGGGCACCATAGACCTCCATTATTTGAATGTCAGCAGACAGCAAGAAGCCTCCCAGATCTCCAGATGCATTTGAGATATCAAAAAAGTACTCCAGAGTGTTGTTCAGCATGGGGGTGAGTAGAAAATGAAGGCTAATCATGTTTTGGGTGTACTATTCCTTTAAGCTTCTTCCATTAAAGTACTAACTTGTATAAACTTACAATTTGTTGCCATTTTAGCTGAAAAAGCTTTTTATGTCTAACAAACAGATTTTTCAGTGGCATGATCTCTAATTTTTTTAACCAACCCGTCTCCTAACTTTTACTTAAACATCAAAGTAGCTGCCGGTTAATATTCACTGAAAGCTGCCGTGTCTCTCCTTCAACCACGTAGCTACCCTCTAAGTAGTGAAATGCGACCGCAAGTCAGATGACTCAAAGCGACAGTTCTGATGATGTCACACCAAGAGGCGGGACATGGGAGCAGCAGGGGACAGGAAAAAAAAACACTGACTGAAAACGCTCTGAACATAGATAGCTGCACCAAACCTCTGTTACCTTTGGCTAAAGGAAATAAGCGGAAAGGGGACAAAAAGCATAAATTATTGGTGGGGACAAAGGTCACACCAGTCCTTCAGAAAGTTACACCTGTGCTGTATTCAACCAAACACCAGACGATTTTGGAATTCCCCCTGGAAATTCTTTTAGGTAAGAAAAGTAGGACATGTCTGGGAAAAAGAGGACGTCTGCTCACCCTATTCATGACTCCAGCATCTCTACCAGGCTTTCTGATCACATGAGCAACATGATCAGGTGGAGGCATGAACAATTGCCTTTAATATAAGGACTACCTGACAGAGAGGGTACAGTTTTGAAAGCTGGAGGGTCAACTGTCTAATCAAGTTGTTGACAGCACAGGTGCACCACGTTACATTCCTTTATAATCTGTACACCTCTGACTTCTAGTAAAAGACAGAATCCTGTTACCTGCTGAAATACTCTGATAACTCTATAGTCATTATGCATCAGAGATGGACAAAAAGCTGAGAATAGAGAGCTGGTGAACCTCTTTGTGTCATGGTGCTTAAATAATCATCTGATCCTAAATGTAAAAAAAAAAAAAGATGACTTTAGATTTCAGAAGAAATCAGAAACAAGATGAATCCTTTTAACAACATGGGAGAGGATGTGGAGGTGGGGTTGGCCCTATACATTTATTGGTGTTCACCTGAACATCAAACTTGGCTGAAGATAAAAGTGTGCAGATTCTAACAAGAAGGGACGGATGATTAGACCTTTTCAGATGAAAGTAAAGTCTGCCTTTAGTTTGGGAATCAGGCTCCCAGAGTCTGAATGTTAGACGGACCACAATGGATAAGTATAGGTGACAAAGGTCCTTGTTTTGACAAGACTCTCATTAAAATACACATTAAATCAGCTTTCATAGGGTATCCATCTCATTACTTCTCCTTTTTCTTTTTATTTCACCTTAAACTGGAATATAGTGTTTTATTCATTCTTGACTAACTAGTGAAGAAGTAAAAGAGGCGGGGAGATTCAGGGAGGAGCTGATCTGTTACTGGCCTACAGAAGAGAAACAAACTTCCACATTCAACACAGTTCAAACATTAACTCTGATCATCATGGAGTACTATGGACTTTATCTTCTTGTTGCTTCACTTCTAAGAGGTCAGATTTAATTCTAAATATGAAGAAATATTCTTAGGCTAAAAACTAATTTTTAGAACTTAGTAACAAATTTCTCCTCCTTTAGGTGTCTGTTCTCAAGATCTCACTCCACTGGCTGATGAAACCTTCACCATAGAGGGCAGCTCTGTTACTGTGTCTTACCGATTCTCTAAAGAACCAAGGGCAAGTGATGAGTTTTACTGGTATCGACAGTATCCAGGAAAACCTCCAGAGTTTCTGATCTTTCATTTAGGATCAGGAAATAAACAAAATGAGCGAATCCTTGGACTGAATATTCAGGTGAAGGGAACTGATATAAGCCTGCTGATCCCCTCTGCTGCAGCGACAGACTCTGCCATGTACTACTGTGCTGTGAGGCCCACAGTGACAGGAAACACCAGAACTCTGTACAAGAACCTGCAATACTCCACAGCATCCACTAGAGGGCCGCATACACTGTTCCTCTTCTATGGTTTGTTATGAGTGAGGCTGAGGCTTCATCCTCTCATGCAGTCACTCGACAGTCAAATGCCTGTGATAGAACAAAAATGAATGTGTGAAAAAAGCTTAAATGGTAATAAAACAATTAACTCTGCACACCAATGAAATAATCCACCATAGCGTTAATGTAAAATCTAAAATAATTTTACTCCAGATATAGCATATTTCAGTTTAAAACTCTTGACTAGACTATAGAAACTCAACAAACTACCGTAAGTGATATTTAAATGTTGTGCAATTTTGCTTGAAGATTATGAATATATTAAATAACTAGAACTGGAAGTTATTGTTAATTATTCGATAATTCAAATCAAGGGTGAAACTAATTCAGGATTATTATAACTGGAGTTTGCTTTTTCACAAGGGTTCTTAGTCTCAGATAAAGGTTGGATTCCTGGTTTGGTTGTTAAGATCCAGAATCTTTCACTAAACTAGAGTTATTAATCACCAACCAAATAAATCTGTCTCTGTCCATTGAGATGTTACTCAAAGGAGAGTGGATCTGACCTGAGTGATGATTTTTCTTGAGTGCATAAAATAACCACAAAAGACCAGAAGATGAAATTAAACGTTACCTTTACTAGCTAATCTGTGCAAAAACTAAACATTACTGAAAATATAGACAGGTACATAAAGCACACAAAAAGGGGAAAAGGGGGTTTTAATAATCTTTAATAACCTTAGCCTAGCTCTTCAAACAACTGAAAAGGAAGAATCAAGCAGACAGTAACACATCGCTTGGATCATTCAGTCCGGCTCAGTGAGGATTAGCATTCAGTTCAGAACTTAAAAACCATCAGCAGTTTACTCAGAAAGATACTTTCAGATAAAACACTAAATGTAAAATTATCTATTCTGCTCTTCTCTCACCCAGTATTTATTAAGGATCAGATGAAAGTGGGAAAAAGAGATTTACTTGTTGGCTCAGTGGAATGGAGGGGGCGGGGTTTGGTTGGTTTTGTTACGTTCCGGGGAAGAAGTCCGTCTCGATTCGATCAGGAACACAGTCCACTCATCCAACAGGCAGCTCTGGAAGAGACTTGAATTATTCTGATGCAAACAACACAAGGAAACTATGCAGGGCTTTGTTTTTCACTCACAGTAGCCTGACCAAGGGCATCCCATTAAGGCAGCTGATAGCTTTGTAGCAGCGGCTCAGACAGCAGCAGCACAGCTCTATACAGCAGCTGAACCAATGGGTCGCAGTTCAGTGGTTTTACAGTTCTTCAGCAGCCGAAGAACCACACTGTAAATGCAAACAATGTCCTGACTAAAGACATTTTTTTTACTGATTAACGCTAAATTCATTAAATCATCACAAACCTATCAGCTGTAGCTAAAGATAATGATCAACTTATTTTTCCTTGCTGTCCAGACTTTCCCTTTGAGGATTAAAATTATGGCTGATGACGTCCTGCTGCAGGTGCAAAAGAACCTAGAGTGCTTTAGTGCGGTTTATGCTGAGCTTGATCCAAAACAAAACAATTTTTACAGTTTATGCAGCTTCGGGGGATAGTGACATCATTGGCCATAATTATAATCCTTAATATCTCCGAAAAGAAAGCAGCACAAACCTACATTAACCATTCAGTCTGTTTGCCAAACTGTTTTACTTGGGTGGGGTGTCAGCTTCATGCAACTTAGTTAATTCAGGTTTGTTTTTTTCATGTTTAAGTATAAACATGTAAAAAACATAGTAACTGCTATCTGTTTTAACGTATGGAATCATTGAAATAATATTATTAATTTCATCTTTTAATCTTGCTTATGAAAGACATGAAACACACATGACTGTTAAAAATCATAGCTAACCTTAGCTGGTGTTTCTGGCAGTGAAGCTGAAAAAAGCTTAACCCGATCACCAAGACTGTGTTGGCCACCAGGGTACCAGATAACCATATCCAGCCAGACCAGCTATCAGTCCCTCGCCTACCTCACTGCTGCTGACCAGAAGCTTTCTCCGTAACTGGACCACAATCCTTTCTAGAAGGTATTGTCACTTTTAGTAATTTTTACTGTCATGATCGGTTTAAGGAATCTGACCCACATGCAGAGAAACCACTCAGAGAACACAGGGAAAAGCTTAACAGTTTTATTTGATGTAATGTGAACAGAGGTTGGATCTGGAACTCAGTGAACTGGTGAATTGGAACTGGAAAGTCTGAAGGGGAGATTACAGAGTTCAGTTCAGGGACCGTGGGAAATAAGACTGCGGCTAAAATTATGCAGGAGAGGGAGTCACGTTTGAGGGGATTCCTGTCAATCCTGGAATCCAGTCTGTTGGTATTATCCAGAGAAGATGGAAATCGATTGGAGAGCGGACAGGTAGACATACGTTGGACCCGGAGGAGTAATGGAGCGGACTGTCACTTGGATTTCCAATGGGGACTTGAACGGATCATGTGGAGGTTTTCCCCTGCTCAGTGTAAACTCAGTAATTCCTTCCAGGGGGAGAAGGTCCAGGTATCCAGTTACACAGGAAGGCTTCCCAAAACTGGCAAACCCTCTGGCGTCGAGGTAGTGGCAGCCCACTGCTCAAATACTCCTCCAGTAATAACCCAACGAGCCGCAGGTGTGCAGGGAGGCCGAACGAGAGCATCTTTTTATGTTTTGATAAAAAAAGTGTGACCGC